TTTTTTTTATGGTAAAGTACCGTTTAAGAAGTCAAAATACCCTCATATGCAATTTCTATGTACAGTACACTGACCACATACTGTACGAGTCAGATTGAATTATTTTGTAAAGAGGGAACATGCGTCTCCTAGAAATCCCGCCCACCTCAAAGGTCACGCCCCTTAATCGGTAATCACAATTTACCCACGGACCCCTGTGATTAATTACTAGAAGTCATGATACTACTTTTTGTCAAGCATTGCGAGGCTAGCTGGGTAGTGGAAGTACTAGTTCCGAGTTTGAGCAAATACCTCCAAGTTGGTATTTATGTAGAGCAGATTAAAAGTCAACTTAAAGTCTTCTTATACATTAGGTAAAAACTACAAACCATTTACCAGTATTAGTAGATTTTGGATTGTTGTAGAGGGAGAAAAAACTCGTGTGGGATTTCCTAAACCTAAAGCTTGCGAGAAATTCCCTTTTCTGTTATATGTGGAGAAATGTGTCTGCTCGGATGAGACCATGCAAGTCAACGAACGCACTCGTCCTTGTTCTGAACCAATTTCGACTTGGAACTACCTAATGAGATGGAATTGTATTTGGTTATGCCGCAGAGGTGTTAGGCGTTAGGCTTTGATTGAGGCGCTTTCATCGCTGTCGGTTTCGGTTGGTTTTCGCGGGGGGAATTCAGAGCAATCGTAAATGAGTGTGAACCCGAGTGCACATGGGTTTCCCGTTGAAAATGCCTACTTTCAGTCTGATTGGCCTAGGCTGTCGTTAAAGCTCGTTGACGATAAAATTATAGGCTTAGAAGAAAGCGAAAAAAATGAAAAGTGCAATTTTCTTCAAAGTATCTCTCGGAACCCTTCTAACGTTGAAGAAAATCGGCTTTTCGTTGAGGTGGGGAACAGAGAGCGCAAAATAAGTCACGTAGACTAGTACCATAGGGATTGATACAGCTTATTCCTTTACTGTTGTATTGGTTGACGACTTAATTCGTTGGAGACCACCCTTGTAGTAAATTCGCTTTTTCCGAGAAGATCATTGTTTGGAAAGGTCTCTGAAGACAATGTTTGGCATGAATATTTCATTGGCCACACTAGTCTTGGCTCGAAGCTATAGCCGATACAATTTCCGCATATCTGCTCGCATTCATCGCTCAACTGATTCTTACATGTTTGATGAGATGGCTGGCAAAGAGCGTTTACACAAAAACAATGGGTGCCTCTGAGAATTAGAAAGTGGGAGAGAACGAGAAAAAGGAACGCGTGAAAAGATCGGTATCAGTTATTACCAGTTTAGAACTGCTTTTCTTTTATAGTTTGCGCTGCTTGGATACTGCTAGTACTGCTTCCTAGGACGGACAAGTTTAAAGAATATCTGATGTGATGAGATACAAAGCTAATGACTGGATGCGAAGTAAAAATGTCCAGCGGTCGATTATATATTGTTGTATTATAGCGTTAGTGTTACAACGAAATAATTGGGCTCTTGGGGTGTCAGGGCGCGGGGTTGTTCCCATCTTTCGAGTCAACTATCAACCGGAGGGAGTTGATCTACCAATAGGAGACCTCAAACATTTGTGCACTTCCTCTGAAAGCATTCTACAAAAGTGATCAATTCTCCTCAGTGAGGAGCAGTTAAGGAATATCAATCGAACAAATTGTGCCAGAAGAAAGAAGACAGTCAAATTCATAATTTTCAGATAGATTTCAAAAAAATCGAACGGTCCAACTTTTCTGTGTAAATATCTTGTCATCATGAAGTTGGAGTTTGTGGCCTATTCATCTGAAACTTCCTTATACTCCTACAAGCGGACGTTAAGGAAACGTGAAAACAATATGTTTGGACGAGTTCATCGACTTAAATCTCGCATTCGTATGCTTTGTGTGGGCATTCAAGCCTGACGGGGGGAACCGGAGTAGAGAACAAAAGCTAACAGTCAAAGCGCTAATTTATTTAGTAGTTCGTGAATGGAACAAAAAGAACATGCTCGGGATTCGTTAAGCTAGGAAACTCAGGAAAGCAATTCTTTTAGGGTAGTGCGGATCAAATCAGATGGCACTCTAAAGAATCCCGGACAGCAATCACTCTCTCATGGTGCACTAATACTGATTAAGGGGTTACTAGTGAAGCTGGGCTTAAGCTCCATCGACAGCAGAAAAACACTCTTGACAGCACTCTTGTTTATGGAAACATATTCACCGTAATCCAGACAGTATTTCATGTGGGTCATTTAGATAGTGTCCAGGTTCGATCTGAGTTGTTTGGGAGGTGTCCGGGATGGGAGCCCATTGCCATCTAAGCTGACACCCGATGGATCCTTTGAATAGTAAATATGTAAACTGCTTTTATTTGGCCTCATAGAACTAGATAACAGTTGTAATCGTGTTCACTGGGTCCTACTTGATTGTTGCCCTCAGAAATGCAGCTCAAAAGTCATTCCTCATGTTTGTTTATCAAATTGACGGGCTAAACGTTCAACGCTTGAAAAAAGGCACTGCCCGTTAATGCTCCTTGCAATCTAACAGCATGCCGGAGAACATCCTTCAGGGGCGTCGATGATAGAAAAGAGTGTTATCACGAGAAACTACTGAGGAAATAAAACTAAGAAGCGAAAAAAAATTCTAAAAGCAAGTGATTATTGATAGGGTTCCCTTTGTGGAACCCGATCTACCTTGCTCGGAACGCTTGACGGTAGATTAGAAGAAAGAGTGGAAGTCTTTACAAAGCGCAGTAGAAATACTCGGTCAGTAGATCCTCTGCTAAATGATTTTTGAGTATTTAATATTCATATACTCTCTACAATCGATAAAGCAACGATCAACCAGTAGAATATACCACGATCGACTTTCTTTTAATCTTGGCATAACCCTTGACTGATATGTATGTAATTTGCTACAGCCTTTCCAAGAGTATAAACTTTATTGGGCTAACGTTTCGGCGAGTTCGCCTTCGTCAGAGCCTGAAAAAGTCGAAAAACCATTGAGACAGACTCTATAATAAGGCGAGATAAACCCTAGACAGTTCTCTAGACTAGAGACCCCTCGAACTCGGTATACAAGAAGCTCACCTTGATCTAAATCGCCGGAGCGTTAGATCGACCACCCACTGTTTACAGTATGCGTACAATGAGCAAGCCTTCCTCCTTTCTGACCTCACCGTAATCT